CAATGACAGAATTTAAAAAAACCCAAACCAACAAACAACACAACACCAAACCTGGTAAGTTACTCTAGAAAGCTGTTTTATTCCACTTTTGGAATAAACTCCCATTGATAAACAGCTCTAATTGAGTGTGCACTTCAAAAACCTTGCATGCCATCAGTAGCTGTAAACACGTAGTGCAAACTTGCACTTAAATAGAAAAAGTGAAAGTCTGCACAGAGAACACCAATTTGGACTTCCTCTTATTCATTTCCTCAGACTACATTAAACAATCTCTAGCTGACAATGTAGTACAGGTTAACTTAATTTACACTAATTTACAGTGAGCACAGAACATTTGCAGACCCCCAGCACAACTCTCCTTGTTGCCCCAAATCACATAACCCAGTTTCAGATACGCTCTTTGCCTGCATAAACTCAGAAATGGATTTTTAGCGATATCCAACACCTTCTTGCTCCTGCCCTAGACCGACACAACCTATAGCATGACTGTAAAACATCTCCAATAGGAACACCAACAGTCACAGGTGTGGCAGTAAAGCACAGCCCAGCAGCCACTTTTCTTAGAGGCAGCTCAGGAGCAGAGGAGTTACCAGCACACTGAAACAAAGTAGTTATGTGCACATTAAGTAAACCCAGCACTTCCTGGAAGTGTCAGATCAAATCATGTGCAGATGGACAGATATATGCATGCTTAGTAAGCCCAGACCTAGAGCAAGAAATAAGCATAGAGCCCATCTGCCACTACAGTAAGATAAAGCTTGAATGACTGGAAATGCACCACCTAGAGCAGCTGTGCTGTATCTAGCAGACTGGCAGCCCTGAAGACTATAAAAGCATTTTTGAGAACAAGCATGGAAATGGGAATTTTAAGAAATACAACTGGCAAGCTACCAATTGGAGATCATCTGGAGAACAATATTCTCCTACAAATTTATGAAATACCAACAGTTCACTTCCTCTGACATATCAGAAACTCCTTATCTCTCCTCTGTCCAATGAAACATAGCTACCAGCAAATATTAACACAGGGAAAAAAAAATATCTGTTTTGCTAGAGCTCAGCTTGACCATTATATGGAAACTCTGTGACCCTTTTTAAGGGACATGACATAAAAAAGATTAGATTAGCTCGTGACAACACTCAGATCCATCCAGTGAACATACCAGTACAAATAAGTACCACAACTGCAAGTTCAATAAAAGGCTTACCTAAGTGTATGATACAAACTGCTTTCTGAGTAGAAAGACCAAATACAACAGAACAATTGAATATGAAAAATTTATCAGAGTTCAGGCTGCAAATATCAGAAAAAAACCCTCTTTATTCTGCACCTGATGAGAACCTGATGGCTGGATTAAGGAGTATACTCTAAAACATGAAAACTTTTATCTGTTTTCAAAGCTTCCAAATATAAAAGTACCACTAAATCAAATTTTATTACCATTTTTCTATCATACTGTATTCTAGTTTTCTTGCTGCTTGTTTGGGTTTTTTACCTGATTAACTTGTAACCTTGGGCCAAGATTAGTATAGATCTCTTTAAGAAGATCTATTGCTCTGTTTGCGATGTCGTCATTTCCCTGAATCACAACCTAGCATAATTAAAAAAAAAACATTAGAACATCTTAAAGCTTTCAGGTACAACATTTAAAAACAAAACATCTGCGTAAGTATCTTGACACAACAGTGTGTCTAATTATTTTATGACGTGAAAGGGACTAAAATGCTTAGTTACAAAACATGATGAACACAACTTACACTGCAGTTAACTACATAAGTCAAAAATAATAATTTACTAGTTTAAAGGACTTCTGAGTTAGCAAAAAAGCCAATGCCTTACAAACAGAATGAAAGTAGTATTTACATATTCATCTTCACATTACATTTCAATTTTCACTAGTTTCAGAGAGTAAGACACTTATTTTTTCAGATGCTTGAACAATGCGCATCACCAAATATTTTAGAAAAGAATTCTGAAGTATTTAAATGGCTGTGAGTGTGTGGAAGGGGGACAGGCAAGTGAGTTCTTTTTCTAACCTGGTAATCTAAATTGTAATTACTAGCCACCAGGTCTGAAAGCAGCCCTTACAGACAATCCCTGCAGGATACTGAACTGAAGCTTCATGAGTTCTGTCATGCTGCCAAACAGCAGGGCAGATCCAAGTAAGCTGATTCCCACAGATAAAACATGCTAGCATTGTGCGGGCACTTTGTACACAAACACTGTGTGAAAACTTATTTGTATAAAAATTGTGATCTACTTTGGTTTTAACTATTATCACCACAGTTAAAACCTAACCCTTCAAAAAGCCACAACCAAAATTACTGAACTGCTGCTTTATGTGCGGCACATTTTCCAAAACACAGCCATGATAATCATGTCAGTGTGCTATTGTGAGCTCTAATGCAGCTCTTGAAAACCAGAAATACTCTGGAAAAAAATAAGTATCAAATTAGATACTGATGTTTTTAACCAATAGATTTGGCAAGCTTCAGAAAGCTTCCTATTGGAATTCCAGCTACAACCATATTTAGGCAAAGGGTTGTAGATAAAAAAGGAAGAATCAGACCAGTGATTACTTGGTCTAATCTGGAGTCATTCCAGCTACCACACTATAATGAATGACAGGAATTGGCTTATGAAGTGCACAAAACAAAGTTTAATTCTGATGTGTGTGCAATAGAGAGAGAAACCTACAGAAGATTCACCTGGAATGATCCTTTCTTCTTCAATAGTTACGCAAATTTTTAATGTCATGTGCCTACACAAATATACTTGATGTTTCAGATAACCATCCATTAAATACCAGTCAAAGTTACCAACTTGCACACTTGCTGGGAAGACAGTGGAGTCAGTATCAATGCATTCAGTTTTAAAAAGTAGTTTTTTGTAATTTCAGTCTATAACTAATAAGTTACACATTCCTAAAAATATAAGAAGAGGCTGAGAAATACGTAGCAGTTAACCTTTCAGCTGCTCCCTCTTGTTAACTTACCCTCCAAAGGTAGTCTAATCCTATTAACTCCAGATCATCCATCATATAGGCTCGTCTCTTTGCTACTAGCTTTCCTTCTCGACAGTTCACAGCTTTGAAGAAACGTTCAAAACATTTCATTCCATTTTCTGTTAATAGGGAAGGATCCAGCTGAAGCACATTATTTTCAAAGAAGTCCTTATTAATGTCAGGGTCTAAGTCTGGTTCATCCCCCATTAGTTTGGAATACCATTTAAAACAGGCTTCGCGATCACAAAGATAAACCGCATTTTCAGCTAAACACTTCCATATTTGCTTCGCCTGAGGGGCACAGAGCCACAGCTGACCATCCTTCAATAAAAATCTTGAGCAAAACAAAAAGACAATTAACAACGCTGTCTAATAGACATCTAGAGTTACAATTCAGTAAAAAGTACAGACAAAAAAGGTGAATATGCATATTATATATGTATATATAAGTATGACCCTGAAAAATTTATTTACATCATCAGTCCACTTATAAATAGCTCCATGATTTCTAACTAAGTTTGAATGGATCAAGACCTTATAATCCAAACAAAAAAGGAATAAAATTCAGCAAAAGATATTTTACACAAAGATACCGAGCATTGTTTACAAAACATACACAAAGAAATGCACATCTCCTAATGGAAACTGTTTAGTTTACAAGTCAGGTCACAATATAAGAGATTAAATTACTTCTGCAATCTTTCACTATGTTTTCACACACTCTTTAGCAAAATCACAAAATAAGGTATCGATTCTGTGGAATAGAGCCAGAAGCAGAAGTCAATGAACTGGAAATTTTGCCTTTTATTTAAGTAAGCTTTTAATTTGTGTTAAAGTATTAGTAAAGAATTATTAAAAAATTCAATTCTGAGAGCTAACACTAAGAATGTTTCAGGAAGAACAAATGATAATCAAAGTTCTTCAGCATAATTTCTCTGATTCAAAATCTTTTCTATGTAAAAGAAATCAGGGACTAAGATATGGCATTGCTTTTCAGAAATTGCTACCTACATATTCTGCATTTGATAGCCATGGGACTCCTATACATTAACAATTAGTAAACTTACTTAAAGGAAGTTACAGTTTTTAACATGCAGAAGTTATAAATCAAGTCTGCTGTCCATATGCTATTGTATAATGTCAGCAAACAGTTGTTAAACACTTCAGTTTAATTCATAAAAATTCTTGGTAAAGCTTTATAAAGTAAAAAAATCTCCCTTAGAAAACAAGTAAAAAAAATCAGAACTTAACAGCTTGACAGTTCATGTATTTTCACTTGCCTATAAAATGTTAAAACCGAGTAAGAAAATGCTGAGAGCGACACAGGATAAAAAGTATCAACAAATTACAGCTCTGTGATGAGCAGAGATCCTTTGTTTTCTTATTTAACTCAAACAGCAGGTTGTCAAAAGTCATCCAAATAATTTTTTTATTCCAACCTCTTTCTGAGGCTCAGTTGCTGACAACCAAACAGTGTCTGACACAAGTGTGTGTCAGTTTATGACCATGGATTTAAATCCAGTGCGGCATAACAAATAAGCACACGTGGACATAACCCTACATGGGATATTCTGTACTTTCAGCCAAGTTATCCCACTATGTATGTAACCGTATCCACATGTACATTGTATTCAAGTCAGCAGGGTTCTGCACAGAGACAGAAAAAGCCCATGCAAATCCTGCAGAAGTGCAGAATCAGAGCCCTGGATTGCAAAGATCCTAATAAACTTTATTTGAATATTCCAATATTGGCATAGAAGCCTTCTAGGGGGAAAAAAAACCCAAACAAAACAACAAAACCAAGAAACCAACAACAAATGAAAACAGAAAACACCACACCCCCAAAAAACCCAACTCAAACCAAAAGCATTCAGCGTAATTTTTCATCTGAGTTTTGAAAAAAGTTAACACAGCAACTTAAAGCTAGATAAGAGAACAAGATACTGAGGGTTTTTTTTTATTTAAAGTATTTAAAGCATTTAAAACATTCTTGCAGAAGTTAAACAAATGAACAGGTCAAAACTAACCGTAAGAAGTTAAGTCGCTCCTGTACTTCCTGCACATGACTGTACCTGCTTCCTGGTCTTACAGTTTGAGGATCATATTCACCATGCTCTGCAAATATAAGAAGTTCCATTAGAAAATACACTCAGAAAGGACACGGTGACTCTAAAAGGCAAGACGCATTTGAAGACTTTTTAGTCTGAATATAACAGAAACCACTCAAAACCACTCAATGAATTTTCAATGAGGCGTATGAAAATAATTTTCAGCAGCCTGCTACCAGTTAATATTTCATCCTAAATTAAAATGGGTATAGGCAAAGACTACTGAGGTCTATAATCAAACACATGCACAGATACACAAGCTCACCATTCAGTATAATGGAAGTACTGCAGAACAATTAAGAACCTGCATTCTACTTATTCAAATAAATTTTTCCTTATTTCAAGTAGTCAGTTTGAAGTCGGAAGTCAGTTAAAATAAAAGTATACCAAGCATATAATTCAGATTATCCAGTATGTTTTCTGAGGACGTTTTAGCTTCATTACAGAGCATCTGTTCCAAAACTTCAGTTTTCCATTTTTAGGTTTTTTCCTCTTCAGAGGAAATCACAACTCCAGTTTTTTAAAGCCCTTTTAAGTAGCTACATACACAACATCACTTAGAGGAGGAGAATATACAGTAACTGTATTTACTGCAAGTTTCCAATTACAAAAAACAAATGCCTGTAATACTGATAAGCTTGAAACAGAAGAAGTTGAGTAATTTAAAGTAAGGCAAGAAGTCAAACTTTTACCTGCATTTTATAAAATCTCAGCACTATATTTTGTTTTACGAACTGCTGTTTGCTTCATAGGAACCTGGTTTCGGTGTGGGTTTGTTTGGTGGTTTTGTTTGTTTTAGTTTTTGGTGTTTGTTTTTTGCTTGTTTGTTCGGGGTTGTTGTGTTTTGGTTTTGTTTTGGTTTTTTAATTAAAGAGATACAATCTAGATCTGTACTTGCACTACCTTGATCTGTACTATGAATATTTCATTATAACACATGTTCATTATGACAGCTCCATTATAAAGCAATCAAGGCTATATTTTATTTGCAAAGGTATACCAATTGCATTTAACTAAAATGACCCAGCTGTGGGAGACTATCATGACAACATCCAGACTCATAGTAAAATTCACCTTCAGAATTGTGTAAATGCTGCTTTCTATATACAAGTACATAAAGGTATGTTAGCTTAAAAATGAAATGTAAGGGAAAACCAAAGACTAGTAGTTAACTGATGTCTACAGAACTGGAGACACTGTGTTTACCAGAAATACTTCAAAAATTTAAATTATAATCCTAATGAAGTGAGCATAAATAGCCAATCACCAAAAGAAGAAATGTGAAAAAAATCTGAAGAAAGAATAGAAAAGTAGCTGAATAAAAATTATTTCAATATTAGAAGCAGAAAATCTGAAAAATATGCTGCGGGAAACAATTACAGCAGATAAGCATACTGTAGAGAAATTAAAACTAATTACTTCAAGTGTTGGGTGTTTTGGGTGGTTTCTTTCTTTGATTACATTTTGTTGAGAAGAGAAGTGGTGTTCATTTTGTTTTAACTATGGGAACTATCTGGGCTTTATTTTCTTGACTAGAGACTGATTCACAGACACAAATGTCAACGGTGGCAAAGAGAATAAATTCAAGTATTAAAAGCCAGTTGCCCAAAAGCAGTATGAATGTACTTCAGAGTTCTGAAAAAACTGAACTACCAGAAAAAAGATCAGTCTCCCTAAATATTCTCCATCTCAGCTTCTTTCTACTTTTGCCTGATTTATTTTCTACACTGTGCCACCCACAGCAAGTCCAAGTGTGATCTCCTTAAAAATTCTTTCTGTATACAGGAACAGAAGAATGAACAGAGAGATCAAAAATAAAAAAATTACTGGTTGAAAAGTTAAGTATAATCAGTGATAAACACATAGAAAATCATATGGCAGAATTTCTACAAAGAATCACATTTCACTAACACTTTGGAATTTTCTATCACTGCAGAAAAACAGAAGATAAAGGAGAAGTGGGTAGCAATCTTTTCAATTTTTCAAAAGGTCTTTGACAAATAAAAGGATGAACTGTGACCACCTCCTTCAGGACTACACAATGCAACAGCAGTTGTCTCATCTCCTGGAAGACTTTGCAGAGCTGAAGGAAAGGGTGAGTTCAGAGGAAGCAAAAGTCATAGATCATGGAAAAAAATTCTGTAATATAGATCAGACTTGTCTTTAACCTTAAAAAAGGCAAACATATAAAAGGGAGAATGATAGAAAAGAATATGCATTAGTAACATGAGAATAGGAACACTGTTCTCAACAACAGAGCACAACTATGAAAGCCTCCAAAGAAAATAAAAATATGACAAATTCAAAATTAATTAAAAAAATAAATCACAAATTACACAGCAATTGTGGCATTAGCTGCCAAAAAGATCCGTGGGCAATTGGGTTTTTTTCCCTATGGCATTTATTTGACCTGTGCTGTTTGCATTGAATTTTCTCCCTCTGTCTCATTCACCTTCTCCAGTTCAAGTTGTTTCTCCAGCTGTCCAGTTCTTTTTCTGTCCCCACAATCATCACCTTCTTTCTTCTCCGTTCTTTAATTCCCCTCCCTGCCCTTTCTATCCCCCAGCATCTCTTCTCCTGCTCCAGGAAGGCATGGAAGGCAAACTTCATAGTGCTCTATGTTCTGCTCTTTTTAGTATGTAAAACTGAAACTGAAAGAAGTTGCACAGGAACAACGTATTATAGTCTTAGTGGAGTATCCGGAACATTAGGAGATATTTTCTACCTGTCCCTAATATTGTAATTTAAAAGTCCACACTATTCTTCATCTGACTTTGTACTCTGATGCAAACAAGTAGAAGTTCTGCAGCAGCTTAGTCTAAGAAAGTACAATTGTTTTGTAATTAGATTCCATCTAAACTCTTTGCACACTTGTAATTCCTATCATGCTGAAGTTGTTTATATTTCCTTCTTGCTGAGACATTAGAGCTGGGGAGGGGCAGGGCAATGGAATGTGTTTTTTGGCACAAGAAAAGAGCATCATGCAAGACATTAGCCTCATTTTTCTGCCAAAGTTATCAACAATTTGATAGGTAAACAACATTGTCAAAAATGACCTATTGGCTTCAGAGTTCCAAAATAATTTAAGTTAATGAATACAGTGCATAATTAGTAGTATGTGTAGGCTATTTTTGCACAAAGGCAACATTGCATTAGAACATAGTTGCTGATTATGTTTCCTTCCTAACCCTGAGGCCAAACCCCAGATTTCATAGCTGGCCAAAGTCCAGGAAAAGAGAGAATCCTAAAGTCATAGATTCTAAGCTACTCATGCAGTTCAAATACAAAGTTCGTTACAAACGAAATTGCACTTTTGCATACATTTAGCAAAGTTAGAGAGCACTCCAACAGCTTACAGAAGTTACAGGAAATAATTTGTTCTATTCCACCTTCCTGGAGTAGACAAGACCTAAGACATTATGGCTTGAGAACAGAACAAGGCATTCAGTATTATTTTAACATTAACTAGATCAACGCTATCATTAATTAAGGAACTTAGTGTAACTCCCCCTCACATACTACTGAGTAGGGAAATCTGTCTGCACAATGCAGATTTAGCTTAAATGTCATTCTTATTGACCTATACTTGGCTGAAGCCATCATCTTCATACAGCATCACTATTCAAAGTCTTCAAGGACCTACTTTGCACATCTTTTATCAAGTACACCAAAATTAAATGAATTCCAAAATTAAAGGTGTCTAGACAACTTACCTAATCATTGGAATACACACACACAGAGGCTTCACAATGTGCAAATATCCTGTCCTTTCTGAACAACCTACACTGAATTCCTACATAACACACCGTGTCATTTTTGAGACGCAACTGAAAGGCTGGTGGGATGTTACGATGCCAGGGTAGGATGGTCCCTAGTTCCAGTCAGTAGATGGGGGAAGGGGGCAGTGGGTAGAGTGTGGCATAAATTTCCTCCTCTCACTTCTGTTGGCTTAATTTAATATATTAAAGTACTGCGGTCCAGTGTAACAAGGAGTTTCCTGGTCCATCATTCTCCTTCATGTCTTTAATTCTACCTCAGTAGCTAGAAAGCTAATTGAGAACAAGAGTGTAAACCCATCAGTGAAGGGTTGTTTAGCCTGAAATATAGAAATACTAACATCATCTGCTGTCAAAGTGCAGCGAGAAAGCAGTAAGACAGAAAGGGGAGTTATACAGTAAAAAGAAACAGAACCCCTGTGGTTTAAAAAGTGCTTCATTCTGACAAATTCCAAACACTGGGCTTCAAACAGAGGCGATTAAAAAACTTCTCAAAGGAGCCTACAAAGATTCAAAACTGGAAGAGGAACAAAATCCAAGATTATCATTAGGACTTTCCAAAAAAGATAACCACTCTAGCCTAAGTAGGGCAAGATGATGTTTATCAATAAACAAGAGCTGTCACTTCCCCATATTCTGCTGTAAAATACACCACATTTTCAACCATGAAACAAAATGTCTACATTTTAAGCTTTTCTTGCCTAATCAGACATCAAAAAGGCTATCAACCCCATAGATACTCAAAAAATGAACAAATAACATTTACTACATTATGAGAATTCGCTTTTAACTCCATTTTCAACTAGTTTTCATACAATCTATTTATGAGGCAACTTTTATTTTAAAACTTACCTTTAGCATACTGCCTCATGCTTTCCATATAGGCGGAGAGATTTTCTGCAACCAATGTAACTAGGGCATGATTGTGCTGAAGCTGATTGATTAAGTCATGTCGGTAAAACACGTGGGGACTTCGCTGAGTTTGACTGAAATTGAAATACAGGTGTTACAAGAAAAGCAGAAGTCTTGCACCTAACGGTTCAGAAATCAATTTTAAAATCTCATCTTTGATGACATTTTCTTAATATTTCTAATAGGATGCATATTAAGTCTCTGACAATATTTTTCTTTTGACACATCAACAGTTCTTACCAGTTAAAGCAGTTGATTTATGAGGATTATACAGTTACAAAACATATAAAAATATTAAAGTAATCTGAGCAGCTCAGTATGCTGGAGGGAGAATATCTGCAGCAGGACAGGAACAGAAACACTTACCCACAAACTGTATAGTTAAAATAAAGAGCCTCCACTGTAGTATAACTATAATATGCATAACCACAGCTTCTTCCGCACCCATCTAATATTCTTTAAGTTTACTATTAAAACATTAAGTGAAATAAGTCAATTTTCAAAATAAAAGCTCAAGGTCTTAAAACTACAGTGAAAGAACTCCAGCCAATAATCATACCAATTCTTTCAATACTTCAAAAAACCTGCACAACTCCACACAACTTTCCAGTTACATTTCATTCCATGTCTGACAACCCTCCTTGCTCAGCAAAAATCAGAAGTAAATCCAGCAAAAGACAATGTTGGTATTTTAGTGGCTACCCAAGATGTTACCTCTAGATAGAGCGAGGCATTTACAAAGGATAACAGTAAATAAGAAGACTGACTACTTGGGAAACATGTATGGTGAAACAACTAAAGGCACAAGTAGAAGCAAGACAGGGTATTCTGCTGAATCAAGCTATTGATGTGTATACTGGTGAGTCTCCTTCTCTGGAGACATTCAAAACCCCGCTGGATGTGTTTCTGTGTGACCTGGTCTAGGTGATCCTGCTCTGGCAGGGAGGTTGGACTGAATGATCTTTCAAGGTCCCTTCAATCTCCTAATATTCTGTTATTCTGTGTATATCCATATACTCATAATATCATGCATTTGTATCAATCTTACAAAGTATCGCAGAAGGAAAGCATTACTGGCAGAAGACTACAGAAATCTTCTGCACTAGACTTTTTTTACTTTCTCCTTTCTCAACTACAGGCACAAACAGTAAACTTGGACATACGGATTCACCTTGGTTAGCAACTACCTCAAAGTTGAGTAACTCTAAGAACTAGAGTTATGAGCTGTGAGTAGTTACTCAGCTTGAGTAACATGCAAGATGTTATTTTGAATCCGTCCTAGCAGATGATCTAAGGCAAAACGATTGTCTTTAGGCACAGAAAAAAAGATGATCTGAAAAGACTGTCTAGCATGCTTTCTAGAATTAAAGCATGTTCCTTTAGTAATAACTTCAATTTTTTCACGCTCGTCAGTTAACAGCAAAACTCATCTTTTCATTGTGTTTCTATTAAATGGGTATCAAAACCAGCACACAAGAAGAAAAATTAGTGTTTTGAAATGGACGCCAAGGTACTTCGCAAATACTAAAAAGGGCATTTAGAAGTCAGAATACATGTTTATTTGCTAGAAAAATAATGTCAAAGTGACAAAGGCAAACTTCCAAGCAACTTTATTTAAATGGATTTTTAAAAGTTAATCTGCACATACAAATTGCCCAACGTAATACTGCACATGTAACTCAGCTTTTGAAGTAAAGAGTTCTTCTACCAGAGAAATGCTAGGTACCATTAAAAGCAGACATTAAAGGTCCAAACAGCGGTGACCAGACTCAGCAAATTCTACTATTTAGGTTAAAAAGTGACTTGAAGGTCACATCATTGTTGCCTTAAAGCACTAACAAAACCCCTAAACTCTTACAGAAGGTCCTCCTCAATGTTCAGTTAATTCTTCTGGGCAAGTAATTTAAGAGACTAATCTTACACTGCTTGAGTAGATACAGGCCAAACTAAAGTGCTTGAACTTGGTCTACAGGATGCTCTACCTCCATCAGCCAACATAGAGAAAATTAAGATTATTAATTATCTGTATACTAAAGGTCAGTATGTTAAGTAATAAACTTGACTATTCCTTAAAATAGTATATACTTAAATAAGTATCCTTGCACCCATAAGAATCATTGCACCTAAATAAGAATTATTTTCTTATGCTGTTGCATTTCTGGTGAAGCTAAACTTCCCAAAACATGCAGCATTTCTTTGTGGTCAGGGAATTAAATTTTTCCAAAAGCAATTGTATAACCAATTCATCACTCTGGTCAACTGCACAAGTAACTAGCAACAATTAAATCCTCTTCCTCAAAAGAATCTCTACAGTGCCAATGCTATAAGATAATTTATACTTATTTATGCCACGAATCAGCAGCTTTAGTCGTTCTGGACCAAATTTTTAATTGTCAATGCCAATCAACTGAGCCACCACAAAAGAGTAGCATATAGACTGTGAGATCAATGTTGCACACAGAAAGCTCTGTGAAATGTTTTTGAGGCAGTTGTGACAAACATATTTTGATCTATTTTCAATCCAAATTCTAGAAGGATGCTAGTGATTAAAGTTACAAGTCAGAAAAGGTAAGCTGATAGGACAGGTATTAGATGCATGCATTGCAATTTCCAAACTATCAGTGTTAACTCTTTACAGAAAACTCAGAAGACTGGAAAGTCACCGATTACATCAAAATGATGTTTTTACTCACTAGGTTTCCCAGTCACCAGGGCAGTAATAGCACCTAACTAAAAAACCGCCCTCAGCAGTATCTTGCTAGGCTAAGGCTTCTTCATAGGAAGAGGTCTTTATAAGTACTTTGATTAAAAGAAAAAAAACAAAACCACCACCAACAATCAAACCTCCAAATCCCCACCCTCCCCTCAATAAAACAAACCCAAGGCATCTCTAGTCTCTTCCATTCAGGAGACAAAGAGTATTTTTTCCCAGACAAAAAAGTCACCTTTGATTTTACATAAACTACACTACCCACCTGTACAAATTTATCGTCAGAAGAATAGGGATGGTGGGTATGTTTGTGTGTGCGTGCATACATACATAGATACACAAAAATTGTATTAATACTTTGTAAGCTAATTCCAAAGTTAAGCAGAGAAGTCCATGGGTAACAAAAATAAACCTAGGTTTCCCACAAATCAGACTACTATTCTAAAATGGCAATAAAAGCATGTTTGGGGAACAAAGATAATGCTCTTACTGAACCAAGGTGTCTGAGTTCTTAGAGACTATAAACACAGGTTACGATTTTACTTCAGCTTTCCCTGCCTCCTGTAAAAAAAGTTTAAAATTTACTTCATTGCAACTCATTCAACTTTTAACAGACAATTTTATTTGCATCCTATTCTTACCTTAAGTTTTGTGGTGCTTCACCAAACAAACTGCAAATTTCTCTAATTTGTTTCAGTGCAGGAATGACCCATTTGTCATTTGTGCGAAGCTCTTCTATAAAGCGATCTATCCACTGGATCTTTTGTGTATCTCGATCCTTCAAGAACAAGTGTTTATAATCAAAAGCAAGCACATTGCAGAAACTGTCAGCATTTCCTGACTTTGTTTTCAAGACAGAACAGAACATACAAACACTGGATCAACTGAGTTCTGAGGCATATAAGCATACGGAAAGTAACTGAGTAGGACTACATGTTGGCAAAGTTATTGGTGTGTTACAAACTCACTGCCTACAAGCACTCAAGCATTCAGGACATATTTAAGAAAACCTGTAGCTAGGTAGGATCATCAGTGTTGAAATAATATGCTCTTTTCCTTCTTTAATTTATTTCTACTCACTGGTACTCAGAGTAAACTACTATAAAATACCAAGAAACAACGAGAAACTGTTTAACTACAAAAGAACGCCTGTCAGTGGCTGTCAAGACAGGTCATGGATTAATGTCAAACCACAATGAATTATTTTGCTGGCAGGCTTCCCCTTTGGGTGGGGAAGGAGTGTGCAATAGTTTTCACTGTCCTTTGCTAGGTGCTTCCTAATAGGTGTAAGAACTTACTGGGAAAAAATATCCCACCTAAACACATTAGCATAATCAAGGCTAGAAAAAACCAGACAGGAATGGGGCTGCTTTTCCTTTTTCCCTGTTTACTTTGGTAGGGCACTTTTCCAGTTCCTCAAATGTGACCATTAGAGTGTGTCACCAATTGCAACAAGACAGGTAAGCTGATACATTTCACTCTCTCTGATTAAAGTATGAACTGTGTTATTGAAAATATGACCCATAACATTTTAAAGATACTTGGATGTTGGTAAAATAATACAAATCTGTGACAAATAACACTTATGTTAAATTACCAAATCCCTTGAATTTTTCAGGGGTGACTGTCAGTGACTGATTTCACCACGGATCACAGCAGATTACGCACCTGTGAACAGCTGTAATCTAAGATTTTAATATGGGCACTAAGAGCCTGGTCCATGATATCAACTGGTACATCATCACTATGAGCCAAATTCCACAAAAGGTTCAGCACTTTGTGTGCCATCACACCGTCCTTGTCATCCTCTGCAAGACGACGAATTAACTCAAGTAGCTTCTCACGTTGCTTCTTGCTTGCATTTGTCCAACTTGCCTAAGAAAATATTTGATATGCAAACCAGTCTTTTTTTTATTCTACACATAAGCTACACCATTAACAAGGGATGCAACTATATAAAGAACTTTCACATTATTTTCTTTCATTAAAAATAAATAGCACATTAGATCAATACATGTCAGACATGAATAGCTCTTCTAGTGTTTACAAGTACAGTGTATTCAACTTGGGACTTAAAATGAAAAGGATCTTTACTTAAAGATCACAGATGTGCTTGTAGAAGTTAACATTACCATTGACAAGTTCATAAACAGTCAAAATAGAGTGGATGCAGCTGTTTCTGGCAAATACTTTCTCAAGACTCCTGTGCTTATACTTAAGACTTCTTAGGTAACTTCTAATCACTAAATGAGTCAAATTTTACTATCACTGGTGCCTTTAAATCTGACTGAAACAAACATCCCCTGCATTAAGTTAACCCTTTTCTGAGTAAGTTTCCGATATAACATTACTTCGTATCCATCTCTCAAGGTCAGACACAGCTTGTGACAGTTTACACATACAATTCCCGAGCATTTTGTTCGGTATCTACATTACAGAACATCTGACCTGTATTTACCAAACTAGGAGATCCTCATTACTTGCAGTACAAATTGCATCTATCTAAAACCAGAAAACAGTCTACAAAGCTGGCTTGCATTTTCTAGTACAGCAGAGCACCTCTTAGAAGTGTAACAGAAAAACAAGCCCGACAGCACCACTACTGGAAGCTACAAATGTTAATGTTAGCATACATAAAAAGGCAATGAATAAACTTTCAAAAACAAGTTGTTTTGCTATTTCTATCAAATTATTATATGTTCATAAACATCCAACATTATCTTCCCGAGACCATTTCATTCTAGATCTATGTTAATCAAAGAAAAAAAAATTACTACATGATAAAGAGGAAGTTGGGGGAACAGGGAACGGAAGTCCTTCATCTGCTCTACTTAAAGACTGAAAGTACCAATGAAATCTGATGAAATCTACTCTAATGCTAGGAGAAAAACACTATTTACTAAACTATCAACACTTAGTAATTTGGAACACATGCAAAAAGGTATTTAAGATAAATACCTTATTTTATTTGACAAATTCAATATTCTTAGGATTGCTAATACTACAGGCCTCAACAGATGCACGCTATCCAAAAGCATTTAAACCAGAAACCAAAACTGTCAATTAAACTAGCATAATGAATCTTTGCTTTAGGCAGGAAGTGAATTGAAAATCTCACAATGAATGCCCATTAAAGAATAGCACAATCTAGCATTGAGACTGCTGCTATACACATCAAGAAGTCTTAACACAAGGAAAATGGCCATATCCAAAATAATTAGAAAGCAGATGTTGAAAAAGTCACAAATCTGCACCTAGCTTCACAACCTATCTCCCGAATACAGTCAAAACGTGCATAGTTACCTTAAAACAATCAAACAGGTGATCAAGCTGTTCAGGAGAGAAATCCCAAGCTAATTTTGCTAGGAGGTCATGTACGTTTTTCACAATGGCTTCATGTTTTCCTGCCTGTCAAGAAGAGAAAGAATCCATCAACATTTGTAGCCATCTGTATTAAGTCAAGCAGCAAGACATTACACATCATTCTTACAAGACTATTTGAACTGGCCAGCAAGAAAAGCTGATGCTGTGGGAGCAGTGCAGCAAACTGGACACTTATTTCACTGTGAAGTCACAATATTTAGATTTCCCCTGTATGTGTAAGTATGTTCCTGTGCTCTGTGTGACTGCACACAAATATTTATTTAGAATATAAATACTGCAGTGTCACAGTATTTCTATTTTTTACAAAGTTATGCTGGGGCAATAAACAATAAAGTCTAAAAGGGTATTTTAACTTACAAATCAGTATTTTAATTTAACGTAGATTTGGTTTTGTTTTAAGAAAGGACTTAAAATCCACTTCCTCAGTAAGTTTCATTGAGGTGTTTTAAGCTGTAGAACAATCTTTAGTAACTCCACAGGCTCTCTCAGGCTGAAGTACTTCCTTTGTACTAGTGGATTCCTGGAGAACTAAAGCTTTCTATTACAAACAACCTGTAGGCAGACAACATTTTAACGTCCAGCGATATAAACTTGTGAAGTCTAACAATCAGACAACTGATAGCAAGATGTTGAGTTATATACTAGACACTGTTGTAAACTAGTTCGGCGTATATCACGGTTTTGACATTTAACGAAGACGACAGTACGGAAAAGACAGCTAGCTCCATTTTAACTCTGGGTGAGAGAAAAATTTCCTTCTACAGGCCCTGGCTGGAAAAGGCATCCTACATTTTAAATCCGCACTTAGAAACAACAGTTTTGGACTATGTGAATCAATAGCTGAATGGCTGCAGAGAAGTTTCCTCTAAATGTAGAATAAAAAACACAAAACAAATACCTAGGAAACAAACTCTGGTGTAATTAATCTTGTACAGTATGAAAAATGCAGGCGTGAGCAGTTTTGAAGTTAATTTTCTTCTAAAAGCTTGCATCAGTATTTCACTTAAAAACAAAAGAGACTAATAGCTGTGCTACATGCTGTGCCATAAATTCTTTAGTGTACCATAAATTTTTCTTTTAAAAAAGTGAATTTAATTAGTAACATTTGTTTTCACATCATGGGTCAGATTGTGAGACACAATTACTAAACTACTTATCCCACTTGATTTTGTAAAACATTGTGTGTTTTTTTTCCTCTGACCAGACCATTTCTTGGATAGAAAGAAAAACTGAGCCTATACAGGGCAGAAAGTGCATCTATAATGTAACAAATAAAAGAACTATGCACAGCTGCAAAAAGACTAAGAAAAAGGCATATCACAATCTTGGCTTGGGAGGTTTTTAACAGACATGGGGAAGCCCTGAAGAACAGAAAAGGCTGGGGAAGCAGTAGCAGACAGTATGAGGAGGTCAGGAATCTGGTGTGTCAACTGTCATCTTGCTGTGCTGAGACAGGAAAGCACACATCAAGTTCTATTTAAATGCTCCAGAAAATAAGTAATAAGACTAACACAAACCTCTGCAATTTTATTTCTTGTCCAGCTGGATCGTTCCCTACAATTCAATGGGCTGCAACTTAATGTTTGCCTTCAGAGACTTCCAACATTACTCCTTGACTCTAATATACTTCTATTTTGTGAGCACTTGCGTTGTAAGACATGAAAACACTTCAATAAAAACTTAAAAGCTTATGTTGCCTTCTAAAGGCAAAAGCAGCATGAGTTTATTATTTTTCACAGACTACTTATTTTTATTCTAGTTGTATATTAAGATTTTCAGGGCACTTCTATACTACCAACTGTAAATTCATGCATGCTCCCCCTCTAAACCCGGGCAGCAACATAACGGCTCTAGCCCGAGTGCAAAACCACACCATCGCTGCACTGAGCCAGAGCGAAAATAGCCTGCCTGTTATATAAAGCTACACAGTAAATCAACGCCTCGCTACTGAATTTCATGCTCCAGCTGCTCTTAGAAGCAGTCATTTAATAAGAACTTCTGAAAACTACTAAACACAGGAAGTAGTGAAGTTGGTAAAAATCATTCCGTATTAGATTTTGGTATTCTTATCTTTTAGTTTCTTTTAATTCCATGGCCAAAGCAACAGTGGAATCATCTACCTGAGTAATACCTATTGAATTCAACTTTCACATGCACAAAAAAAATACAGGGTAGAATTGCAGAATGTGCACTGTGACAACTACCTAATTGAACCAGGTATTTGAGAGAGGCATAGGAGATTTATTCCTAAATTGATTTTGCAACTGTTAGGGTGCACTATCCCTACCTTTTAAGGGTTATACCACTTGCTCACACTTTTCTGAAAGGGTAAGAAGTTTGGCTCAAACTAGCTTATACACTGTCCCATTTCTAGCCACTAGGAGTACTGTAACTGCTTGGAAGACTTTTCTCCAAATTTCAGATTTTTATTTTTTTTTTTTCTTATAAAAGGCGAGTCTGTAATACAGTTAACACAAGCCTACTAACAGCAAACTAAGTCAGTCTTCCCCCCGCCCCAGACTTCTTACAAAGATAGTCTGGAAAGGTCTACAGACCACAAGCTGAAATGACCACAGACCTTTACTCAAGTGATCTGTGTATTATTACTCTGTTACATGATATGTTTTTTTAAATAGGACTTAGGGATAGCAAGAAAATGATGATTTTCTTGAGTTTCAGCCTGTGCTGTTACTATCATGCTGGCATTGAAGTCCAGAGATGAAGAAGTTAGTTGAAATACCAGAGCTCTGAAGTCAACCCTCCACTACATCACCTGTAGTCCCAAGTGCTATAAACATAACATGGAAACGGCACGCCTGAAAACAGGGACACCTGAATATGTCCAGTTAAGCCAAATTATTACTGTTTCAGAAGAAAGTGAACACACGTAAACTGGGGATATAACACTACTACCCAATTCCTTTGCTAGCCTTTGTCATGGTATAACCCCAGCCAGCAACTAAGCACTACCCAGCTGCCCACTCACTCCCCACCCCACAGTAGAACAGGGAAGAGAATCAGAAGAGTAAGAGTGAGAAAACTCACGGGTTGAGACAAAATGTTTAATAAGTAAATCTTCTGCTTCATCTGCATAACCCCAGTAAGCTACTATCCATATAAGCTACGATGAAGAAATTAAACTTTATCCCTGCCAAAACTAGTACAGCCCTCTATCTTGGAAACCACACTTCGCCTCACCACATTTGAAAGTCTGGCCTACAGTCTTTCTTGTACAAGTGAGAGTATCGCTCTCATTACTTATGAACAAGGATATCTGTACTCATGCTTGCTTCTATCCTGAAATGACCTTTTATTTTCTACCTACTCAATAATGATTTTGTCTCTTCAGCTGCCCTTTATGTGTGTTAAACTCATGCAGTCCATGGCTAGGAAACCCAGCTTCACCAATCATTTATGCAAACATGCCAGTATTACAAAATTTGTAACTTTAGAAAAATAATCATTACAACACAAAGGCAAGAATTTGTGTTGAACAAATGTAACAGTCATTATTATAAGCCTCATTAATAGCACTCTGCCCAGGAAAAATTTATACAACTGTGGCAAGCTCAAGAGATTAGCAATTTATACACTTAATGCATTTTAAAATATGAAGTCATAATGTATCATAACCTTCCATAACCTTGACTTTGTTCAAACGTCGAGGGTTCCTTAATACTTAAAAGAAGATAATCTTTGCACCATGTTCTGAACTGTTCCTTTAGATTTCAAATACATGTTGACTCCTTCTACTGAAGGCATTCGAGAAGACAATTTTGAGATGCAGGACCCCCCAAAAAAAACACCATTTGATTTCAAGAATTTTAGTTTTGTCTAACACTAAGCATAAGAAGCACGAGTTGTTGTCTTTTCAATACATGAAACAGAACAGGATTCCTCTTGCAGTCACAGACAAGTTGAGTTCATTACCTGCGCAGCCCAAATGTTGTCAAGATCCTGCAAAGTGAGGGCTTTCTCTTTGATGACAAAACGAAGAATTTTTTCTAACTTCTCCACATACTGAGGTTGATGAAGACTGTCTCTCAACACAATTGACAGGATATTATTCTGCTGGATCCATTCCTGAACATAAAAAGAAATCAGTGCCATCTCAAATAACTGAAGTGCTGTCACTGATATTTAAGCTAAAAAGAAAAATTTCAACCTATTACAGATTAATGACTTTATATTGCAATATTCTTACTGGGAGAAGGGAGAAAGATGCAGCACAAGAGGAGCGGTTCTCTGTCTAACTTTCATTTCCTCTTAAAAAAATAAATATTATTTTAAATAATCCAATAAGCTAGTCACTGTGATACCTTAAAGGGAAATGTTTTCTCAGGCATATTATAATCATGAACTCAAAGCCTAGAAGCATTCAAACAATTTCAAACATAAAAAGCCAATGGGAAGAACAGTTAACTCTTCTACCCAAGGACGAAAATTTTCATCTTCCAATTCGTAATCATAAAATATCAAAACTAAATTGTTTAAGACACTTCTATCTTTACTGCTATACCTACAGCATATCACATGAACAAGGACTGAAATATAAAGAGGTTAGACTATTTAAATACTGCCACTTATAGGGATTTTTTTAATGCTTCTAATTGAATTAGAGGCAAATATTTAAGCCTTAAGTAGACGTAATTTTTTTTCAGTGGTGTCATTGATACAATCATGTATTTTTGTGTGCTTTGAGCACTGAAAAAGAAAACCAACATACACAGCATCATACCCTCCACCAGTATCCTTGATTAGACTTAATTGACAATACTCAAGCTAGTCTCATGAAATACTTAAATCTACAGGTTTTCATTTTAAAACAGAGGCCTTGCTGAGATGACAAACTACAGAAAGTACATTAAAAAAAGGAGGATCTATTTCCTCCTATTGCTTTAAATAGTCAAACTGCAGTCATTTTTTTTTTTCAGCAGTCCTTTTGCAGATTACAAACCTCACAACAGGTAGCCAAAGATGGGACAGATCAGTGCAAAGAACTACTTAACACAACTAAATTTCACAAAGATTAAGAGAAAATTATCCTTACTTTAACTTCATAAATGCTTATTTTAATGGTTCCCTACATACGCACTCCAGCATGAAACAGCAGTCCAAGTATGTAAATATTAAATTAATAAAATTGAAATGTTACATCTAAAACATTCTGTACCAAAGAACCCAGCTTCTGAAAGTGAAAAGCAGAGTAGTCACTAAAAACCCTAATGAGAAAAAATTACTTGAAGCACAAAAACCAGATTAGAGCCTTATTTAAACGAACATTCAATTTTTAGCAGCACTGAAAGCAATTCTTAACAGCAGCTTCGAAACAAATACAGCATTTTTTCCACAGAAAGACTACTACTAAAATGACTTATTACCATGACATGTTACCTGCTGTTTATAACACTAGATATGAAAATCAGCAGCGTGTGTAGGACAAGTAAAGTAATAAGGAGTAGGAAAACCTATTCAATGAATTTCGGTAAAGAGGAGAACTCACTGCCATTCTTTCAGCTGTAAGCCATTCTTCCTCTTCAGGATTACCATGTCGATGAGTATAATATGACACACTGGATATTACTTTGTTAACTTCATTTAGTGCATTCATTTTACCATTGAAAGAAGAAATTTGTAACAACCTGTAAACGAAATGAAATGTAAGAGGCATAAAAAATATGTCACCAGTAGCATAACATATTAGGAGTAGCATCTTACCTAAGTATCATTTTTAACCTAAATATTTCTAAATTTTTTACAGTTTCTTCCTGTCCTGGAACTCTTGAAGCTAAGTTCTTTAGAGATTTGATTATCATTGACAGAGCATCATTTTTGGCTTCATTCTTTGCTTCTTTTTTCAGTTCATCATCTGTTAAATTTTCTAAAAATTGTGGAACCATTTCTATAATTGGAAGGAAATACTTCTTCACCGTATGTAATGTTAGAAATTCATAACATTGTCCAAATGGCCTAAAAAGAAAGAAAGAAAAAAGATCAAAGTACCATAATTGGTAATTGTAGAATAGTAGGACAGCAAGCAGTAATTCATTCAAGAAACTAAAGTCCATTTACAAGCACATGAACTGTAGATGGTAAACACAACTATTTAAGATATGGAGCAAGGGGAAGTGCTTCAAGAAAAGACTAAGCTTTGCACTAAACACAATATTTACTTAGTCCAACCTCTTGAAATACGTAAATTATTGTTTTTAAAACACTTACTTGATGAGAGCTGCAATTATCTGAACATTCAATGCTGATCCACTCATAAAGCGATCATGCAAGATCTGAAATCCATTTAACGTGCCAAATTTGTTGATAAGATCTACTAGCCAACCCTGCAATATAATAAACAGTTACATTGACATTTACAAATTACCATCTAGAAATACTTTCAAGTACCTGTTAGTAACAACTCTTACACAATCAACTGTTAGAAGGTAACAGAATTGACAGTGACCTTCCCTATACAGTGTAAATATTCAGTTTAGAAACGGGGAACACAAACTTTCCTGCTGTCATGTCAAAAACCAGATGCTGCATATCAGTTATTGAAAGACTTATCAAATATACAGGAACAAAAATTACTTTACTTCAGATTCATCTTTGGCTGTTAAGTTACTACAGAAAGCATGACAATTCTGGTATTATTTTTCTGGTCCTGGATGTGATAATGCTGCACAAAAACAGCAGTAAGAATGCAAAATAACATTCTTCTAACACAGTTAACAAAGCAAGGAAGTCCAAGGACAGAGTTATTTATCTTTGGTTCTTACAAATCAACAGCTAGCAGTTCTACTAAAAAGAAAAAAAGGCAGAACGTAACAAAAATACAATTTGGTTAGCACCAGAATTTGTACCAAAGCCATTTGGAGCACAGTTCTGAAAAACACCCAAGAACCAGAAGAGATCACTAAATCTCCACTGTCAGTTCAAAACAAAACAAAACAAAAACACCAACAAAAAAACACCACCAAAACCTGAAAAAAACAAAATCAAAACAAAAAGCAAACCCTAAAACAAACCCTAAACCAACACAGACACTAGCATCCCACGTCCAATTAAAAACATTTCTCCCATTTTTGGGAACTATAAGAATAAGGAGAGAAAACTCCCATTTCACCACATTATCTCCTTCTCAAAATATGTCACCTACAAAATCATGTTTAGTGAGAAGGCAAATCCACCAACTGGCAAATACAAGCAGGGCAATTTACACAGCTGGAATGGCATTCCATTCGAGTTGTGCCAGCTTACCACAGAAACACATGACACAGTCTGATTGTGGACCATAGACTGAAAGAGTTAGGAAGGGAAATTTAACCCATCATGATTCATTTTACAAGTCAAAAGCAGCACAACAACCTAGTCATACAGAAAACGAAGGGGCATTTTTACCTCCCTCTAAAAACACTTCAACAGCTACTACGTAATTAGGTAACGCTGATGAAATTAAAAACACAGGTCTGAAAACGCTCTGATACCTTTGGTGATCGTGGGTCAGGAGGACGGGCATAAAGTTCATCTTCAGCAAGCTGGACTCCTGCAGGAACAGTTTCTGAGGGGCGAGTACCATTGTATAGATGGAATTTGCAGTGAGGATTTAAGGCCATGGCAAGAAGTTCAAGAAGGGGAAACCAATCTTGGGACAGCTTGGCCACACAGAGTTCCACTAGTCGATGAGTGTTATTAATAATACATCTCTGTGAAGAAAAAAAACAACAAATCAAGAATATGGCAGGTGACTGTACGAATAACGTGAACTATAAACTCTGAACCATTTGTACCAAGCATGCAGAGTTGCATAAGAGTTTTACAGTGTTGTACTTTAATTTGTACTTCCTCCAATAAAGGCTTTAAACTGTATCTGTTTTCCGCTAAAAATTACATTTACAAAACATTGGTTACTCGAGACATTTATGAATCACCACTGAACTATTAACTTTTCCTTCTTTCACCCATTTCTCACAAATTTTAATTTGCTTATAAAGATCTTCGCAGTTTTTAATTTGGCGTGTGACTGGCTGTCCAACAAGTAGGTTTTATATTCAAACAGCTGCTATAAACATTCAGAAGTTAGCAGCTGCTAAAAGCTTTTAGTAAAAAAGCAAGTTTCCATGTCCTAGCATGCACATCAAAATAAGCGCAGGTCTCTAGACATCTGGCCAGAGACAGACGGCTAACAAGAGCTGCAATACTGAACATACAAAGTTCAGTTCCTCCCCGTATCATCTCATGTTTTATTTCCTTCCAAAAACACCAGAGGCGGTAAGATGAAACAATGATAGCTGGATGACTTCCCTCCCACCCCAAGAGCCATGTATACAAGGGTTCTCCCAGCACTCTGTTCAGAGGAGTTTCAAAAATGAGAAGCCGTCTGCATTCTCCTCACAGTCACAGAAGAGGCAGTCTCTTTCCTCATTTAAATTATGCTTTTCAGGAACAGAACTTTAAAAACTCACGTGAATCTCAAACTTCCAGCCACTCACTGCCTCATCTGTAAGGATTTTTGTGAAAGATATTGTTAACCCATCTCGAAAAAATCGCTGGCATGCTTCACTTTTGACATCAAGGCCTATTATAAAATAGAAAAGAAAAAACAAAACTGTTAGATATGCAATTTCATTAGTTGTTACATGAACTTTTAAGTATTGAAAGTAGTGATTTGGACTTCAAAGGTTTGTTGTTCCAAGTTTCAGAAATATTTTGAAAAGAGAAACCTTGGATGAAGACAAAACTTACATGAACTTGAATGCGCAAAAAACTGAAGGACTAATGTTCTAGTAAAGCCACCTCAAAAATTGCACTGCTTTAGATAATTCTTAAATTAATAAGTACAATCTTTATCTTCCATTCTTCTGGTATACAAGCATTTATGTTCTTTTACGTATTTGCTACTGGTTAAACTTAAGTGACTGAAGAGGAGAAAGGGTGAGACCTGCTCAGTTTCCCAGACACCGTTAACCTAGAAAAATAAACATGAATCTTTCTGTCTCTCAGCATCACTTGAAGTACTGTTTCTTGTCATTCTGCTGCCAGGACCCAACACGCCTAGACCCCAACACTGCTGCAAGCCTCTTTGCAGCCACCACATCAAGTTTAAAATTAAAGAACAGTACTGCATACTTTTCTTTTAGTTATTTTAAAACTCTGGAGATATTTGTAACCCAGTATTTCAAGAAATCTATGTTTTGTCTTCAAAAGTTCAGTCAGAAAATCAAACAGGGCTAAAGGTCAACAGAAAAATATACTGAACATCTGTCAGTACACACTGGAAACTATGAAAGCCATTGGGCACATTCTAAAAAGAAAACTGGGGCCTGCCCACACAGTTTCTTTACAGAATAAGTTTAATTTTCCATCAGGGAATCTTAGCATTCAACAAGCCTAGAGCATTCAGATTCACAAAAATTACTGCCACCACCACCCCAACTACCCCCCCACCCCTGCATCCTCCTTAATGAGGCATCCCAACAGTAACTTCCACTGGTTTGGGAAGGGCTGATCTGGGTTATCAAATTAAAATTCCTCAGTCACAAACAACTGTACAACAGAGGATCCTTTCAAAAGTGGTCACAGAACACCTGCCCTGTTTGTTAGTACATACCACAAAGGCTTTCCAGGCTCCTGCAACGGGGCTCGCCAGTCTATGCTCTTATGTTGTGTGCAGCTCTCAAGCGACTTGAGTAAAGCAGGAACCTTTGGCGCACCCCTGTCACCTCCCTGAAAACTCCTCCAGTGTTCCTTCTTTCAGCATTACCAGAGGTACATGATAGACACTATCTGGCTAAGAATAAAAAACTCCGCATTTTCTCTGTAGCTTGCTGTCTGGAAAGCTGACATCCCTATATCATATAGTAAGTGCTATGATCAGTAACAAAAGCCACAGCAATGACAGCATGACAAAAGAAGAGAGATAGAGCCTAAAACTTAAGCATTTGCAGTAAAAAAAGGACTTTGTTAAATTAACTTCTCAAGGAGGTAAAGATGACAACTTTACCCCATATAAAACAAAGAAGGCATCCAATGTGGTCAACTTGACCTAGGAGAAATGTTTCTTTCTGAAACCAAATGTAACAGTGAACTTAATTCTTGAATACATATTCAAAGCAGGCACTCAAGTGATTTTAATGCTTCTTAGAGTACCAATATACTACACTGATCTCTCAAACTTCCAAGTACTTCTTGGACCATCTCCACTCCACAATGGTTGGCCAGCTTCAGTCAGCAAGATATTTCAAACCAAGTTCAGGAATACCAAACAGAACATGTTTCAAAATACACTGTCCTTTCTGTCCTTCACTGAACTTGGAAAGAGAGGGAAGATGGAGAATTTTAGAAGATACTTGTGTGACTCCTGGACATATAATCACCTTCCACCTTCTCCCACAGTGCTGCACGCTGCTGAGACAACAGATGACACTTGTGGAAGGAACCAAGGCTAGGTGTCTACAAGGACCATCAGCAGAAGGGTACAGGAGTCCTAGAAGACAGGAGGTTGGCAGAGGAAGCAAGAATAGTCCAGAGACTGAAAAGAAAAACAGCAACTACACTAGACACATTGGCATCTACTCCTTGAATCAGATTCAGTATCACAAACTCCTAGGTAACGCTGCAAGCAGCCATTTTTTGTCCCTGTTGTTCAAATTCTGAGGGCAGAGAAGGATAAGGAAGAATACAAAGGCTAAGTTAGTGCATGCAGCCCTGAGCTAAATATTTAGAGAAAAGTTGGAGAAATGGATTATGCAGTAAGTAAAAAGTAAATATGAAAGGAAAAATTGACAAGCAACATACAATATGTGGGAGCTGAAATTAGGGGACTGGAGCAAGAGCAGAGAACCACTTGATTTCTGTACCTGTGCTTAAAAAGCAGTGGATTTGCCAGGTAAACCACACAGAGCATACTAACCCTGCCACAAGAGCAGAAACACTCTAGCTCCACAAAACTTGCCAGTTCAGATGCAACTGTAGATGAACCAACCCTGATGCATCTGAGGGGTATTCAACAATAGAGGGTTGGAGCACCAAGGCCCCATGCAAACATCACCCAGGTCCCCCTCTCCAGAGCTTTGGATTACACAACTCTGTAGCTGCAACCCCAGAGCTGAGCTGGCTCCACACACTGGTGTGGCACTGTGCTAGCAAAGCCTCCCAGACCTGGAGCCTCAGAAGTGCTGCACAGAAACCTCTCAGTAGCTTGGTAAGGGCTGGCTCAGACCCTGCAAAACTGACAGTTTGGAGCTGTCAAAACTGTGTGGAGCCAATAGGGAAATGCACACTTGCCCATGGGCACAGTGGCTACACATGGCACACTCAGATGCTGGCAGACTTCCAGTAACTCTTAATCATGAGGAGTGTAAGAATCCTTCTGCACCAAGGCACTGCCCTTCTGCAGTTCATTTCACTGAATTGGTTCTAGTCCAAATACCTGGCTAAGAAACTGGAACATAACACAGATCTGGTGTCCTTGCTTTAGATAGGCGACTAAAAAGAACCATTTCAAGAAAACGCAAAAGATAGAGCTTCAGTAAGGAACTCAAGAGTGGTCCCACAGAAATGCAGACGGATCATCCAGAGAGAGGGAGGGTCTTTGGAGAGGATGCTGGAAACAACTCCCACTACTGGGCTGCCTAGATTTTGGATGCATGTGCACTCATGGACACACACTTTTTCTTCTCCAAGGCTCTACGTCCTGCCCCTTTACTCTTACCCACTCTGTAACCCTTTAATCCATCAAAAACAAAGATTTGGAATCAAGGTTGAAGGTTTAAGTTGTGCAGTGAAATTTAATTTCTGTTTAAGTAAGTTACAAATTCTAAAACTTGCCTCACATCTTGCCTGTGTGTATCACATTGGAAAGCTTTGGCAGAATGTTAGAAGTGTTACGTAAACATTAGTAGCAATAAAATTCACAACAAAGGCAGAGCAGTGCAGAGCTGTTAAGGGGATTTTGAAAGAAAGAGTGGACAATATTCTAGCCTATAAAAAAAAACCCAAAAACCTATACCAAACCAATTTTTTAACTTTAAATTTATAGCATCCAAACTCATAACATTTCTTTCTGGAGCAAATCTCATCACTCAAACACTTCATAAGTATGCCAGAATTATTGTGAAGATAAACATCAGTCTTGCTATCAAATGCTATTATTCAAACAGGTTTTCTTCTATTAGCATGTAACTCCAGATCATCACTCAATAATCTCATGCCTTGCTTAATGAAGAAAAATACATTGATGCCTACACAAAGATAATCTTACATAAATAAACAATCAATCTGCCAAGAATAATGCAAGTCACAGTCTAGACAGGATTCGTACTCCTCTGTCAAGTTTGCTCCTTGCACTTGAAGGTAGTTATGATGACATTTAATTCTTATAGGTACTTTCAATTCAGTTCAGTTATGTCCCTTTCAACTTCAGTTCCTGAAAAGATTGCAAGAGGATGCAAATATCACTCTTATTTATAGGCAGGGTCACAAAGACAGCAGTTACCCCCCAGTTACTCCAGAATACCAATGCCAATAGCCACTGGCAATGTTAGGAATAAAAGCTACTTAATAACTTCAACCTCTAGAAAATAGTGCTTGATTTAAAAAAATAGTGGGCTCTTTTTAGGTTTTGTTGCTTCAGAATCTAAGTGAGTTACAGACTGCAATCTAAAATTTGCATACTCAACAGCTGGTTATTTTTCAATTTCTTTCTTCTCTTTTGAAACAGAACTCCCCAGATTAAGAAATATGCCCCACAGGGAGGTAGGAAGGTGTCCAGTTTTAGATCTTACTGAGATAATAGAATACATTTTCGAGCTATTAAAAAATGTACACAACAGAATCACTTAAACTACCTCTATATATACACAGCTCTGAAACCATGTCTGCCAAGTTTTGAGATACCCAAACAGTGTCAGTTACACCAAGTGAGCACCCTATCATATTCCTTGGGCACTGAAAGTTATTTTAAAAAGAATCATCTTAGCCATCACATAACTTTGAGTAGCAGGGAAAAATCTAGGATGTAACTGTAAAGAGAACACAGTCAAAAAGCAACTACTTCCAACAGCTTTGTCTTCTCCTTAGCCAATAATCCTTGCATACATACACACACAGGAATTCATCCACAGGGCAAGACAAAGAATAATTAAATAGCAACACAGAAGCCCTTCTCAGAATTGGATATCAACAACTTAATAAAAATCTAAGTGCATAAAGCATGTGAATAGATTTTCACTGGTTTTCACAACTTCAAAATGAAGAAGAGGAGACTTTGGGAACTTTCAGCTAAGTCTGACACTTTGGAGAAGTACACTAACTTTAAGAGTAGCCAAAAAGTGTCTCATTCTGCTCTTATTACTTGACTGAATTGACAGCTTTTTGGTTGATTGGGGTTTTTTTTATAAAAAATTGTTTTGTGTTTCTTTTTTAAAGATGACTTAACAGCTGGCAGTACTTCTCTCTCACAAGTCACAACCAGTGAATTTCTTTTTACTGCACTGTTGCAGACACATAGATGGCCGCATTTTCTTTCCATAAGTTGGCATTTCTTTTACTCCTGAACAGATGCGATCGCTTGAACAATTCTACACTCACCTTGGGATTTCTGCCAGACCTAGTGACATGCAAAGAAGCCAATTCCAAGCTCAACTTCAGCTGATAAATCAGTGTTGGCAACACGTCATTATCCTATTTTGGATCATAAGGGTGCACCCAAACTTTTGTTTCTCCAGAGTGTGCTCCAAAGTAAAAAAGACTTACAGAAAACTATAAAGTTAACTCGGAATATTACCACTATCAGCTTTTTAGTCTTAAAACTGCCTAAGAATAACCTTTATTATCACAGAAATTATTTCATCCTAGTCCAGCTATGCAAAAGTAAGGAACAGGCACTTTGCCTGTCAGTATTTAAAACACAACTAGTTGGTAAAAATACTAGAAAAATACTTTGGTCTGACTTCTGGTGTTACTCAAATATTGGGGCACCAGATACTGACTAAAACAGGAAGACCAAAGCAACTTTCCAGAAGAACAGAACTTTCCAGAGCACACGACAAACTTGTCAATGTGATGAGTACAATTTCACAAACACATACACAGTCTTGATGCAGAACCCTCCAACTTCTAAGCAAGTCAGACACAGCAAGCAAGATGGTAGAATTATTAGTTTAAGTGACACTGTTAAAAATTCTAACATTTCTCTAATAGCCTCAAAAGTACATATGTGCCAAATCTGAACAAAAATTTACAGCAAGACATTTGGAAAGCTAGATTAGTAACTTATTTTTTAAAAACTAGAATTCTTTGAGTTTTAATGTGTTATAAAGACTAAACCCACCAGGTCTGATATCAAAGTGAATACAGAAAACAGGTAGGACAGGAGTGACAAGATTTTTATTGCTGTGAGCTTGTTCAACTTCCCTACTCCTACTAAGGCACCTAATTTCTACATCTATGGCTTTCTAAAATTTTTAAGCCTCCACTAGGGATTCAAAGAACAAGACTTTACACAGTGACTCAATAATTACTGTCTTTTCAGCTTACCTTTTTTACTTAGGTCAATAGCAGCTTCTAGAAGAACTTCTAATTCCCCTTTCGGCAATACAGGAACAACCCATCGAGGCCTGTATTAGAAAATAAAACAGGGTAAGAATACACATTTTTGAAGGCACTGATAAGCACTCCATTAAAAAAACACCAAAACAAACAAACCACAAAACTCTGTTTTTAGCCTCTTCTTCTTTGCAACTCTAACCCAACTTTTAAAAAAGTATTTCAAGAAATCCAGTAAAACAAAAGATGCAAGAATCCTGATCCCACTATCAATGTATTAGCACAAATAATCTACACCCTCTGAAAAAAGTGTGAAAATACCTGTTGATCATGTCATCTAATTTTGCCAGGTCTGTGTGTGGAAATGCAGGCTCCTCATCTTCAAGTTGGAGTGGAGCATCTGCTTGGCCCCGCTCATCAGGCGGGGTTGCTGGGGAGTTCTCATTGGAAGAATCAGGTGAAGAAGTCTAAAATTGGTATGGAAAATACTTTAATACTGCCTGCACTTACACGCCACCTATTTTGGCATTTTTCCTTCATACTGTACTTCAAATGATTCTTTGAAACAACTACCTGTCACTATAAAATATAGTAAAATCAATTTATTTCAGATTCACTTAAAAATAGAGCATAAAATGGGCTATATATGTTTTCTATTGCAACAGTTCAAAAAATTAAGCTACTTTCCCAGCAAGGAAAGGGCTTTTATGAAGACTTCTACTTTCGGCAGGCCACCTCTCTAAAAGGTGAAAATAAAAACCGTATAGGTGGTCCAGTTTTCACAAATCTTCTGCAGAAAAGATGACTGTTTTAGGTAGAAAGACAAGCTTCAGCAACAGCACAGAAGAAAATGATCGTGAAAAACATTTTCTTAAAAAGTCTGCTAAAAATGAGTAACACACTACTACAGCTGGCTACTAACCAACCTCCAAGAGCATGATTAGTTAAGCCCATTTTGATGGGCCACACAAAATACAATGCATTTTGTAGATGCACCTGTATTTGTATATAGAAATACTGAGGTAGAAATATTGAGGTGTGAATTGACAATTGCAAAGACTCAAATCAAAATAGCAAGATTTAGGAGGACAAAGGAAAATCCAAATTTCAAGGACATTTTTCTTATCTTGTACTGCATCTAGTTGGCATAATTTTCTTCACAGCACCCTGTATGGTGCTGGGTTTTGGATTTGTGACCAAAACAGCATTGGTAAGACACCAGTGTTTTGTTTGTTGCCAAACAGTGCTTGCACAGATTCAAGACCCTGTGCTTCTCACTTTGTCCTGCAGCAGTAAGTATTCTGGGGGTGGGCTAGAGGCTGGGAGAGTACACAGCCAAGGCAGCTGACCTGAACTGTCCACAGAGGTACTCCATACCATCTAGTGTCATGCTCAGCAGTAACACAGGGAGGGAGTTTTTTTCCAAAGTAGCTGTTGCCTGGGGACTAGCTGGGCACCCATCAACTGGTAGTGGGTGACTCTATTTGCATCACTTGTTTCCCTCTCTATCCCTTCACTTATAAAAGTGCCTGTATCTCAACCCACGCAATTTCACACTTCTCCCTTCCAATTCTCTCCCCCATCCCACTGAGGTTGAGGGACTGGGCAATGAGGTAGAGACTTACCTGGCAGCCAGGGTCAGCCCACCACACATGTGCCAAAGAACAATTCATTCTCAGGAAGTAAAAAACCATTAACCCTTATTGTATTAATCAAACATCATCTTCATACTGAATCAAATTACCAAGTGTGGCACTTCTTTTAAATGGGTTTGTCTGCACTGTTTAAAAGCGTATTTTCCAGTATTCTTCCCCCAAGAAACAAGAATCACCACATTATGATGTAGTATTTGAAAGTTTGTCTTTTGAAAGCAGGATAACCTGATCAAAAGAAACACACTAAGTTGTTCAGGAAGCCTAGTACAATGAACAGAGATCCACATGAAGCTGATCTTAAAGGGCTGGTACCTGCTTCTAAGCTGTTTTATCCAAAAAGTGCTTCTGCAGAACTGAGCATAAACTGAACTCACAGAGAGTAGTTTTACCAATAAGGTTCTGAGGAAGTTTCTGATATTATTCCAAGAAGGTTTCTTATCCAAAATACAAATGCTTGAAGGAACTATGCTGCTGCTTGAAGAGGGAGCTTTTTTTTGCAATCCAGTGTTTCTTAACAGTATCTACATTGCCAACAGCACTGCCTTCATCCCTCAAAGTGTTTTTCTACTTCCAGACACACACACACACACACACACACAAATACGTAACTTAACTGGACATCTCCAGGAATATACAAACTCAATTAATTCAGAAACACTATTTCTAAAGAACCAACTCCTTTACTTTTAGACAACTTGACTGTTAATATCATACCTGATTCTGCTGGAGGGGAGGCTGGGACTGTCCATCAGGAGCCTGGCCCTGGCTATCATTCCCTCCTACCGGAGAGCCACGGGTCGTGGCTGTCATACTCGACACAGGGCAGATCTTTGCAATTTTGTCTGCTTATGTAGTTGTTGTGAGAGAAGAAATTATAGTCCACTTAGTAAAGTTGAAGTACCAGCGTCTGCTTGCCTTAAAAAAAAGCTCCAACTCAAGAACATGCCATCTTGCAGATACCATTGCATAACCTGAAAAAAACCAAACAAACACTATAATGACACATGCATATAAAAGTAATCCACACCTGGAAAAAACACTACAAAACCAAATACATAGCTATGAAGAATCTTTCATTTTAGACTTAGTATTTCTTTTTATCGAGTACAACTAACATCAGAAGAAGGTAACATTAGAGATGTTTAATATTATTTTAATGTTTTAAATAAAAATCACACAGATAATTACTTCTATACCACAGAGAAACCCACTGTACACCACTGCATCCAAAATGCAGCTGTTCACTCTCACTCTTGTGCCTGAACTGCTAGAGAAGATTTTCAATTTGAATTCAAGGCGCTGACCATGGTCTATGTAGAAATGACCTGGTTAAGAGCACAAACAGCCAAATTTGTCATCTCTTCCAATACTACTCTTCTGACACTCTCTAACTACAGATGTCTGAGAGAAGCCAGAGATCGATTCTACCTCAGCTAAGACTAACAGAGACCCCGCAGCTAACCTTCCTCTATTAGCACACCAGTATTTACCCACGGTATTTGAGCAGTTCCTTTCTTCTAGCACATGCCTATGAAAGCCTGGGTCTGCTGGCCTTTCAGGCTCACTGCAAAGCCCACCACATCCACATCAAGCATTTTAGTGAGTGGATTCCATGAAGAAAACTGTGACATCAGATTTATTTGTTGACCTTTTAATCATGATATACCAACAGTTTGATAGTCACTATATTTAAATGATACATGGTGAACTTGAAAAACACAGAAATAAAAAGCTGCATTACGTGTATTGGGTTTTCTGTGAGGGGTTTTCGGTTTTGTTTGTGGTAATGGGGGAAGGGCTACAGAGATGGCCCTTTAAAAAGCTACCTGAAAAGCTCCCCCTTTTCCTTTGTCAGACCCACCCCTGATCCAGGGCCAAGCCAATCAGCGCCCCTGCGAAATGTATTTAAGGGGGGTGCAGGGCATGCCTCGCTCTCTCTCTGGCACCGGTCCTGACCAGCATGGCCCCAGCCCTGTCCACAACTTAAGCTTAAGCCCCGCTGCAGCTTCATCCTGAGAGAGAGCGAGCAAGAGAGCATGCACCGGGATCTCCATAACCATCAGAAGAGACCTGCAGTGAAGAAAGGAGTGGGGCCCGAGGAGAACAACTTCGAAGAATACCAAGGTCGGTTGAAGGAAAGAAAGGAGAGGGAGGAGGAGGAGGACGCAGAACCCAGGTTCCCCTTTTGCAACCTGTGGCAAGAGCCGGGTCGACTGGCCTGCAGCCCGTAGAGTTCACTGGTGGGGCAGGGCCACCTGAGCAGTGGCTGCCCCTGAAGAAGCC